ATCATCGTTATTTTACTACTTGAATAAGATAAAAAGGTTTTTTTTGTGTAATTCCAATTTGGTATTTGTGAAAAAATTTTCCTATTTAGGGATGGACAATAGAAACAAGGTAAATGTCTACTGTAGTACTATTGTCCACACCCCATTTATGGACTAAAAAAAAAATTTCAACTCACTTTATATTTAACTATATTTATGTTATTCATTTATTTATTTAAAGAAAATATTATAGTTTACACACAAATTTTTCCACTAGGATCTAGTCGACTTGTGCGCCGTAACCTCTAATTCCTTCTGCATATTTCCAATCCGTCGCAACAGAATAAGGTTGAGTTATTTCAAAACCTTGTTCTGTTATTTTTGCACGTTGAAACTAAAACAGCAATTATTATAATGATAAATATAGTGATTATGAATCATCAAACCCCCAAAATAAAAGCCATTTCAACGAATAAAGAAATAAACAAACTTTATTTAAACTACGAGTATCCCTATAATATAATACTTTCATACAATTGTCTATAGCTGTAATTGCCTCCTCTTCTGTAAGTGTATCTTCACGACCTTCAACAGCATTACGAAGGATAGGTTGTACCAAATGAGCTCCAAAACCCGTTGAGATTGTTGTTGCTTTAAATGTTGTTCCAAGTAAATCAGTATGTCCAAGAAATCTGTGTTTTTTTTTAAAAAATATGTGTATTTGAATCATAATATACAAAATAAATAAATAAATAATTTATTGAAAATAAATATTGTAAACGAACTTTTCTCCTTTGTGATATCCTCCCACTATAAATGAATTCCAAAGTGGATTGAATTGTGATCTTCTATTGTACATTACTTTACTTAAGAATTCATAAATATGAGGTGCAGAAAGAGTGTGGCTATCATAGTTAAATGATTAAATCAAACGCATTAAATGAAATAATTGTATATTTTTCACTTCACTTCATTTTTAATTTTTTACTTGCCTGGAGTAGATGCGTTAGTATTAGATGGTTGACTAGGAGGTATAACATTTGATGTGGAAGCCAATGATGATGATGAATTTAATAAAGTTGAGAACTGTTAGTACCAGGAGGATTTATCTGTGCATGTTCTGGAAACTCACACTCTGGTAAAAATGTAATCATTTCTCCATTGATGATAAGAGTTTTAAGGCCCGATGTCTTTCAATTAATAGCAAGTCTACACCATATGCCCAAATTTAAAATAAATAAAATAATAACTATTATTAATTACCCATCAATTCATCCATCAATTCATCCATCCAATTCAAATTTAAATATACAAAAATCTCCATGATTGTGAATGAATACAGTAGAAATATGCCATTTCCAACACGTATTTTGGCAGTATGGACACGTCCTAAAACTCTTGCTATGAAACACCTTTAGCAACTCCTGAAAATCATATTTCAAGATTCTAATGTCACCAAGAAATTTTAATTACAAATAAAAATAAAAAATTTATAAATGAGCATATATATAAATATAATTTTAATTCTTACCCATCAATGAAATTCAATAAAATGCCAAAATTTGTGCTTCCTCATTTACACCTCTTATAGTTTCTTGAGCTTCAGAATCAACAAAAGCCTTGACAGGATGTCCGTTTACCTCAACAACAATACACAACATAGTTGCCTGATTTTTAATAAATATATGTATATATATAATACGTAGCCTTTAATTTATTGGAATTCGTTTGACCAAAGGATTCTGGATTATATTCTAAGGCTATCTTAAAATTCAACATAACATTTTCTATTCTTCAATCCTTCGTTGAATGCCAAAAGGATCTGCATTAAGAATATTCTAATTAAAGCAAGCATTAGCTAATTCTGGTCGAGTCTAACAATATCCAATTAAATAATCAACAGAAATGTTTTAACATCTCTAATTGATAAAATATTACTTTGAAGCAATTGTTGTATCATTTGATGCTGATTTAGCATTATTTGACAAACTAATTCTGTTTCTAGTGAAATACTAGAATAACAGTATGATTTTTATTTTTTAACCCAATAATGGTTTATATCAAATATTGTTACGTGCTAACAGTTGGTCGAGTTCCTGTATTTCGTTTTCTAAGCAATAATATATCATATTGGATAATTTTATATTGTTCAAGAGTTTTTAGGATCTGTTAATTTTTCTCCATGATAGATTATTTACTCGTGTTCCTGTCCACAATCAGCAGAGTTACATACATATACATGTACATAACATTAAAGAACAATAATAAAGACTAATATAAAAGGTATTGAAACCTTAGCTTCAATTAGAGCCTTAATGTTTTCTAATTCCATTTATGACTTCACTTCCAAAAGGCGGGGTTCACCTGACTCGATTGCATTTAAAATTTCTTTTCAAAAACTCGGATTTTACCCGCAGTTTTTTAAAAGAATTTTACACGATACATGCTCAAAAAGAATTTTAATACGCTGGTTGATGATGATAAACAAAATTAAAGAAACAAGAGATCCTAGGCCATCACATTAAAGATTTCAAAACACACTATTATGTATGTTTTAGGATAATTGTTACGCGTCAAGATTTGTTTTTCAAATCTCTTTATATTTAATTGTTTGAGTATACAGTATATATACACAACCTCAGAACATAAGCTATAAATTTTTTGTGTAATTAATATATTTGAGGTGTCTAACACTTTTTTTTTGTATAATTAACACACCGTATCATATAAAATACTCTTGGCTTCTCTAATATTTATTTATCTATTACTGTTACTATATAATTTCGAACTATTATGTTGTATATCGAGTTAAATTGGTTTTCGCATGAATTGCCATTCTCCAAACAAAATTAATTTAATTGCACAACGTAACATAAACTTTTTTTATTTCAAAACCACATTTCAACAAGATTAAAATTTCGGATGCAAAATGAGCACGTTACATCAAAAAAAATTTTTTTTTTAATCAATTAATTCATTTGTTAATAATATTAATTAACAATATTTTTTAGAGGGTGAAAGATTTAATCTTCTGTATTCAGTCACAACATCTTTAATCACCTTCAGGCAATCAAAATCAAATGAAAGGATATCATCCAACTGGTCCCAAGAAGGAGCCCTGCTCATTGCCACATATTTTCATCAATCATTAGAGTCGCATGTGGCAATGTCATGCCTTGGGTCTTGGCAAATGCATTCTGCAATGGGAATTGGCACTTTGAGGCATGTGTACCATTTATTTCAAAATTTATAGTACATTCATTTTAATAATGTTACCATTAGTTGGAAAAGTAATTTCTACATCATCATCTATAACTTTGGTGATCACACCTATCATTCCATTGCAGATGCCCTTTTCAAAACAGCTTACCAACAAATTCACACTTTAATACTTTAATAGTAACTTCTTGTTATCATATAATGTTATCTGTATCAAAAAAAAATTATTGATTGTAAATTTTAGCCATAATTTAAAAGATATTGTTTATTGTTTAAAAAAATAGATTCTGTTTGATAATTATAAATAAAAT